ATACGGAAACTAGGTTTATGTAGAGATATATGGGGGTATATAGGGGGCTTAATTAGAAGGAATATACAGGGTTTATCTAGGGGCTTAATTGGTACATGAGGCCTAAAAATGGAGACTCAAATGGTCAAGACAAACATGGAATATGCAATAGAAATTAATGTTATAGCGATACATTTGCTTTAGGGTTACCTTGCCTTTGGCCAGCAAGGGAATTTAGTGTTTAGGGCTTAAAGCTTCGGATGGAACGAGTAAACTTACTGCATTACTGGAATTATCTAGGAACTACTCTACCCAAAACCCTATACCCTAAACTGCGTATAGGGCCCTACGTCAAGGTATAATCCTGCTACAGGGCACGAATCCTCTCCAAGCAGGTCCCTTGAAAGGGTAGGATTAAGAGGTTTAGGGTTTAGGGTTTTGGGACCTCAGAAAAATCGTTGGGTTCATAGGTGCCAGGACAAACCTTGGCCAAATATGCAACAACAAATAAATTTGAAGGTCTCTCGTTCAGGAAGTACGTAGGTTTACGGGAAGCCATGACTGTAAGAGTGTCAAAGCAAGGCTGGGCAGTCTTGCCTGAGAACCCTATGCGCTAAACCCACGAAGACGGACTCCGCAGTAATAAGTTGTCTGATAGGTGGGTGTGAGGGTTCAGGGTTTATGGGCGTAGGGGTTGGAATTTACAAGTTGGGCTAGACGTGCGTTATGACAGGGATAAGCATGGTTGTAGGTCCCATGAGATGGTTGATGGGTTTAGGGTTTAGAGGATTAACGCCTCTAGCTATAAGTTGGGTCAGAACTGGTTTCTGACAGGGAAAAGTATGGTAGCACGCCCTGTCACACGTAATTGTGGGACTTGTCGACGTATAATGATGTAAGTAAGGTGACCACCGCGAAACGCAACAGCCACGTCCCGCAAAAAGCCAACAATAACTGCATTTCACACTCCCTGAGAGCCAAAGACACAAAAGGTACTTGGATCCATGGTATGAGGCAAGGCTCTTAGTTGAAATCTATGGAGCATTTTGGGCTTTGCAGGAATCTGCAGCGCACACCGGAGATTTAGGCAGCGCCACCTTATTGTCCTTGCCGCCAGGGTGCCCCTACAAACTTCAGACATAATTCCTGTCTAGAAACCTGCAGCAACCTTTTCCTGTTTGGAACAAATCTCCCAGGTTTGTTCAGAGGAGAATCAAGCCCCGAATGCTTTTAAGACTGTATCATGATGCTCCCCCTCCTCCCTGCAACCCAAAAACCTAAAGTGACAAACCCCACTGTGAGGTGCCGGGTGCCTTTGGTTCGAGCTACTCGTTCCCAGGCTAAGCTACCCCAGTTAAGAGAAGCTACTCAGCCCTGTATCTTAAACTCTTATAACCCCTGACCGAAATAGCGTAAACCCTTAACGCTACGCACCCTACTTCTAAAACCCGTCAATCCTGAACGCAGCAAAACAAAGCCCTGAAACCCCGCCTCCCACACGCCGAGCCCTTCACAAATACGTCGGGGCTTCTATGTACTCTCTCTAGACCCATCAAGGTTAAGGTAAAAAAAGGTCCGAAAGTCAGAACGAACAAATCAAGCCTCATAAGACCACAGAATGCCCTTGAACCTCCACGTGGATCCCAAACCCTAAACCCTAAATCCTAAACCGTAAATCCGAAATCCTAAAACCTAAGCTCTAAACCCCCAAACCCTGGGCCTTCAGCTCTGGCTGGAACTCTGTGGCCTGGGATGCAGCGGATCTACGTGTTGATCTAAGGGCTCTAGGGCTTAGGGCTTACCCTAAGGGTCCATGTACCCAATAATTAGGTACTTGGGGTTTGGGTAGAAGTAATTGTAGTACTGGTTTTGGGTAAGTATATGATTATTAGGTACTTGGACCCTTAGGGTTAGAGTTTCGGATTTAGGGTTTAGGATTTAAGGTTTGGGGCTCTAGGGCTTAGGGCTTGGGGTTTCAGGCTAAGGGTATGGCGTTCAGGGTTCAGGGGTTCCAGGGTTTGCCAATTTGAGTCTCAGGTGTAGGCCTGGAGGATTGGGGTGGCTTAGGGTTTAGGGGTTCCTCTCTGGGGCTCTGAATTCTCTGGGGCTCTGAATTCTGGGATTGTACTGTTTAAGGGTTCTTGCGTTATGGGATTCGGCGTTCAGAAGTTTAGGTTTTGGGTGCGGGGTTCGGGCTTTTGAATTCCAGGCTTCAGGCTAGTGTACCATACAAGATGCGGGATGCCTTGCTTGGGGGATCCTCATATTGATTTGGGTCCAGGGTTTAGGGTATTCCTTCGATTGTAGACACGGCGCCCCTAGACCAGGCCCGTATTTTGGAGATGTGGCTTTATAAGGACTGAGGCCGTTCGCTAAGGATTCACGCTCTAGGGTTTGTCTCGGTTTAGGGCTTGGAGCCCCTAAACCCTAAACCCTAAAACACTAAAACCCTCAGACCCTAAACCCCTAACCCCTAAACCCCTACACCCCTAAAAACCTAAACCCTAAATCGGGAGTGGAGTGTAGGGGTTCCGGGTCCAGGGTGCACAGCTTCAAAGCTGAGCTTCAAGTTTAGGGTTTAGGGTTTAACAGGATTAAGGATTAGGGTTTAGGGTTTAGGATTTAGGGTTTAGGATTTAGGGTTTAGGATTTAGGGTTTAGGATTTAGGGTTTAGGGTCTAGGGTTTAGGGTTTAGGGACCTGGGAACTGGAGCTGTTGGCTTCACGCTTATAGACTTCAGGGTTTAGGGCTTAGGAGTTTAGGGTTTAGGGGCTTAGGGTGCGAGGGGTGTGGTGTTTCTAGGGTTACGGTCTAAGGATTTAGGGGTTTAGGATTCACCCCAATGATGAGGATGATTTTGCCACCAGGCTCAAGCAAGTTGCAAGTGCCACGGTTTAATGCTCGTCGGCGTAGGCGGCATGTCGCAACGCAATCTGATGGCAATGACTGCGTTATGACGACTAACACCATGTAGGTAGAATACGAATCACTGGCGCTGTCGGCACTATAGGATATTACCTGATTCTAACTGGGGTCTTGCCTATCCAGCATCAGAGTGTTAAGGAGCGTCGATATCACCAGCACGGTGGCAAGCGGCCACACTTACCTTAGGCTGGCATGCAGGAATGGATCCTTTTTGCAGTCCCTCGATTTGCAATAATGTACCTGAACTCCCTCCTATTGAGAATAAGTACCTTCTTGATTATTTTGGTGTGTTTTGGGCCATGTTTACCTAAGTTTGAAGTCCAGGTAGCTTTTATGACCCTAAACTCTAACCCCTACCCCGTAAGCCCTCGTTTTCCTTTTTCCGTTCTCTGCCGAGCTGAGGTACACCCCCCGACCCTCCAACTTGTCCTCATGTGCCACTGCAGGCTGCAGTCAGCAGTAGTACGGTAGTGTTTGTACAATCTTCGGCCTCCTCCACTCAAAAGGATCGCATGTCTTCCTAAGGTATGGAACGGAATCGAAAGTGCTGTAGAATTGGTGCATATATAGGGACTATTCCAAGGATCCATTCCTTCCTCCCTTGCTGACCTGATGAATATTTTGCCATATCAATGCAACACTGCAATGAAGGACTAGATGCTTCAGTAACCCTTGAAATCCATAAAAGTACACTTGTTCCTAATGTTCAGTGTTAATGGGGACTCCAAAATACAAAGGGAAAAGGGGCAAAACACTGCAATGAAGGAAAGCAATACTAAAGATTTCAATTTCTAGTTGTCATTTGGATTACAATAACCAAATATATCAAAAATATGTTGCAGGCCCCTATAGATGTAGGGCTTAGGGAGTAGGGCAGCCTACGTAGACCCTGTAGGATCCTGTCATCGATCCAAGGTGACCCCGTTGCGAACATGCGGAGTCTTGGGTTTGTCTACACACCCGAAAATCTAGGGACCCAAATAGGTTTAGGGTTTAGGGTAACATTTGCAGACCTCGGGGCCCAATTTAGGTACTATTCGTATATGGATCCCTAGGGTAATCTTGGCCAGCTCCCCCAGATCTTTTAATTCAGGAGCTCTCGCTTCAGACACTGATCTAACTTGTGAGACCTATTCCGCATAACCTCCATAATCCTCAGGCTCCGATACCTCCGTGTTGCTTTGACACTCAAACGGTGAACACTAAACTCAAGCGCATCACCCGTCTAGGCCCTGAACAAGGGTTTAGCGTTTAGGGTTTAGGAATTTCAAGGTTCAGAGCAGTTTTAACGTAGATGAAATCCAGAAGCCCGTATTAAACCTCATGCGTAGATCATCTACATGGAGGCCCAGGCCTAAATCCTGCACCCCAAATCCTAAACACTAATTGTAGTGACAAGACGGCGGCCACGGTCATGTTTAAGACCTGGGGGGTGAGAGCTGTGTCTTATAGGCGTAAGCTACAACTGCCCCTACCCTCCAAGTATCAAATCAAAGGACAAAGGACGATGGTCAGGGCTTCGGAAATCCGCGCCGTAGCTGCTATTGGTGGTGAAGGACTGGAAATACCATTCAAGCTCATTAGAGCAAGGACTGTGACAAGCCGCTGTATAAAATCACCCAAGGAAAACCTTTCAAGGGAGCACACTTACACCTAATCCCTGTATCTACGTCCCTCTTCCCTAGCAAGAAAAATCTGGCCCTTTTTGCAGCAAGATTAGGAAACCCTCAAGCCCCAAAAAGAGCACTGGATCCCAGATATCCTACCAAGCTTGAAACGCACATGCCACATCCGATGTCTATGACATATTCCCCACTACGGCCAATATGCGATACACAACACTCCACACCCGACAACATTGTCACCCGCACAGTCTGGGTAGGGCCTCGGGGTCACTCAAATGCTTAATGTCTGAGAGTCTAGGAACCCTAAACCCTAAACTGGGTTGCTGTTAAGGAACCTTAATTTAAGTTACTATAATGGGGAAACCCTATTATTTACTATATAAACCCATTATGGTAACTTAATCTAAGTCCCTTAACAGCAACCCAGCAAACCGCTTGAGTTGAACCATGAAGTTAACTGAGCCTCTAGCTAAGTCAAGCGCGACGAGAGCCCAGGCCACATCAATGAGGGATCCACCGCTCATGGGTTGAACTGTCCAGAAACTTCAGGGTTTAAGGGTTTAGGGTTTAGGATCTAACAGATAAACCCCAGAGCCTGAACCAAGTTCATTGGGGAATTGAGTAGTGAATGCAAGGGCGTGAGCTGGGGTTTTGCAAGCAAAGCGAGAACTGCTTAAAACTTCAGCCACTTTTGATTGCACTGCCAGGAAGAGTGCACCTCAGGAACTCGTGGATGGGGTTTAAGGGTCAGGGTTTAGGGTTTAAGGTCTAAGGTTAAGCGCAGAGTGGCTAAGGCTTAGGGTCCAGCATGCACGGGGGACGGTAACATCCTGGACCCCCGAGTACACTCTGAAGAGCCATAGGCCCGTAGGACCTGCATAGATCTCTTTTTTAGGGTTGGGGATTTAGGATTTGGGATTTGGGGTACTTGGAGGGTACTGCTTTACTCTCCATTCTACATGCATCCGCTGATGTCAGAACCTCAAGAGTTGGGTACCCATGTAATCACCCAACATCATGTGACCGCGCAGAAAGGGACCCCTGATGTTGATAAACTCCCACGGGCGACTTACCTCTGGATAGCCGGGAATGGAGGAATGTAAGAGAAATGGAAACTACGAAATTCTTGGCATAGGAATGGGTTTACGGTTTAGGGATTATGAGGATCCGTTCTTTCAGGCCTTGCTTGCCAGACCCTAAGGGTCCATTGGACTCAGGAAATGGGTACTTGGTATTTGGGTACTGGTGGTTCTAATACGGGTTTGGGGTAAAATATGATTATTAGGTACTTGGACCCCCTAAGTTAAATGACCCTAAAGCTCAAATAAAGCCTGAACCTTAAACCCTAGACTCTAAATAAACCCTAAACCTTAAACCCTAAACCCTAAACCCTAAATAAACCCTAAACCTTAAACCCTAAACCCTAAACCCTAAATAAACCCTAAACCATAAACCCTAAACCCTAAATAAACCCTAAACCATA